AAGTCCGACACCCTCCTCTCTAGCACCGTACAATCTACCAAACGCACAAAAAACCGCATACAGCTCACCGTCACCAACGCAAACGGTACCTTCTACCTCATAACCACCAACAAGATCCTCTTCACCGCACCCCCAACCCTCACCAACCTCTCTCCCTTCCACCCCGACAAGCGCCAAAAGTCCCTCTTCACCCCCTGGACCCCCAGCGCAGAATTCGTAGCCATAATCCACGCTCCCTGCCTCCCATCCAAAACCTCCATCTCCTTCCTGCCCCAGGCTGTTGTACCAACCAGCTACCTCGCACTCAAAGACTACCCCTACAGTCTGCGTCTCGACGCCACTGGCCCTGCAGGCACAAATCTCTTTCGCGTTATCTTCGGCGCAAACTACACGCTTTCCACACCTGCGTTCCAGCAACTCGTGCGAGACCGCGTCGATCAGCTGGTTCGAGCGGGCTCGGTAAACACCACAGCAGCAGCGAACTGTGAGGTGACGTTCCGAGCGAGTTCGGATCATTCGCGGCCGTGGTGGCCGCAGGATGCAGCAAAGATACAGAGCGGGTTTGTGAGCGAGGTGAATGGCTTGCAGGGATATAGGGGCATGTGGTTTGCGGGGTATGCATGGGGTGCGCCGTATAGCTCGACTGTTTGGGCGGTTGTTGATACTGTTTTGGAGAGGATGGTGGGGAGGTAAGAGGGGTCAGATGAGTAGGGAAACGGGGGAGGGAGGGAAGAAGGAAGGAAGGAAGAGAGGAGTAAATGTGTGAGTGAAGTATGAATATATGTGTTTGAAAATGAGTTGCATGCCTTTTTGGTGTTGGTATTGAATGGTCAGTGTAGTAACTAACACAGCTTCAGTTGGGAGAAAGTTCAAAGCCATACCTCTTCCCCTCTCCACCAAAAAAGATAAAGTATCTACCAAAACTTCCTACTCTTTCTACCAAAGAAAGAACCCTGTTTTCATTATTAAGCACTACAGCTAGGAACTAGTAGGAATTGAACACCGAAAAAAATCTTAACATTTTCTTCTCCTTGCTACTTTCTACTTGTAAGCTTTCGCTGTCTATATTCACAATACCTTACATGTTTAAATCTCTAGAGTTACGATAGATTACTAAGCCGATTCGCAACTAAGCCGATTCGCAGTGCTTATTTTAGGAGCCATCCTTAAACACAAGAGAGAAATTTAGACTTAATGGTATACTTAACAAAGAATTTTAGACCTATTTTCATCTTTACAGTTTAGAAGCAGTGATAGGGATAGCAAAAAGGTTAAATTTTAAAAAAAATTCATTTCAATTTCCTTTCCTCTCTGCATGCATCTACCTCGTGAACTACATAAGAGACGTTGACCGCCAGGCATACTTTTGCAGAACATCCGTTACGATCGCTTCGTCAGGCATCGTCGTGAAAGCGTAAAGAAGACTTTTTTTCACGTTCCATGAATGCCGGAAACGGGAACCCATGAAAGAAGAAGGAAACAAACACACCAAGTCTATCGTTAAAAGCCGCAATAGATGAAACTCCGTTCACAGCTTGCAGTCTGGGTATCCTGCACCTGCGCCCTTACTTCCTACCCGCCAACCTATGTGGCGCTCCTCATACATGATACGCTTATCGGGTAGAGAAAGCCTTGGTGACAGTGCGCTTGAGCGCGAGCTCCTTCTTCTTCAGGTCCTCAGCGGAGGCATCCTCAACCTCCAGTTGGGCCATGGCATCAGAGAGAGCAGACTCAATCTTCTCCTTCTGGCCACGCTTAAGGCGGATGGAAGTGGTAGGGTCAGAGACCATCTCCTCGACACGGGAGATGTAGGACTCGAGCTGTTGCCTTGACTCAAACTTCTTGCTGAACGCCTCGTCGCTGGACTTGAACTTCTGGGCGTCGTTGATCATGTTCTCAATGTCCGTAGATGACAATTTGCCCACAGCATTCGAAATCGTAATGTTGGCGCTACGGCCCGAACTCTTTTCCGTAGCCGTCACTTTGAGAATGCCGTTAACGTCAACCTCAAAGACTACTTCGAGCACAGCCTCTCCAGCCCTCAAAGGCGGTATTGGTGCTAAGGTAAACTCTCCCAAAGAAGTGTTGTCCTCGCAGTTGACACGCTCACCCTGGAAGACAGGGAACTGGACGGTCTGCTGGTTGTCTGGAAAAAGTTCAGTACATGTTCAGAAATAAGTAGCGGGGATTATCTTACCGGCAACAGTGGTGAATGTCCTATAGGAAGTTAGCAGTTGTTCATGAGATACCGAAAGTGGGGGTGCAAAGGAAAGGGGAGTGGTGAATGTTGCATCACGTGATGTGAACACCAACAACTTCAGCAAAAGCAGAAATGTGGAGTCAGAGGAACATCGGGAACCATCGAAAGTACTTGCCTCTTCTTGATAGTCTGGAAAAAAGTCAGATCATGATCTAAACAGGAATGGGTGAATACTCACAGGAACAGTCTGGCCACGGGGAACGACGGGAGCGAAAATGTTACCCTCCATGGCAACACCAAGGGAGAGGGGAACGACATCGAGAAGGAGGAGGTCAGCGGTGTCGGCGGAGGTAGCCTTTCCGGAAAGGATACCGGCCTGGACGGCGGCACCGTAGGCAACAGCCTCATCGGGGTTGATGCTCTTCTCGAGCTTCTTGCCGTTGAAGAAGTCGCTGAGGAGCTTCTGGATCTTAGGAATACGGGTAGAGCCACCAACGAGGACGATCTCGTCGACCTTGTCCTTGCTGATGTTGGCGTCCTTGAGAACCTGGGCAACGGGGTCCAGAGTGCCAGCGAAGGCCTTCTGGTTCAGGTCCTCAAAACGAGCACGGGTGATGTTCGCATTGAAGTCCTCACCATCGAAGAGAGAATCAATCTCAACGGTGGTCTGGGTGGCGTTGGAGAGAGTACGCTTGGCACGCTCGCAAGCAGTTCGGAGACGGCGAAGGGCACGGGCATCACCGCTGATGTCTACAAAATGTCAGTAGGAGTATCGAAACATAGCGAACTTAGAACCATTCGAAATGACGTTGTTGCCATCGTAGTTGCCATAGTCAACACCTGAGGGGAAAGAAAATTTTGGATCACTTTACGTACCCTTCTTGGTCTTCTTGGTGAACTCCTTCTTGAAGTGATCAAGGAGGTTGGTATCGAAATCTTGACCTCCCAAGTGTGTGCTGTAATGTTTAATTAGCTAAAGTTTTTGTGTAGTAAAGCAAAAAGGAGGACTTACTCTCCGGCAGTAGCCTTGACAGTGAAGACACCACCCTGAATGTGCAGAAGAGACACATCGAAAGTACCACCACCGAGATCGTAGATGAGGACGTTCCTCTCCTTGTCGGATTTACCGGCACCCAGACCGTAAGCAATAGCAGCGGCGGTGGGCTCGTTGATGATACGGAGAACGTTGAGGCCAGCAATGGCACCAGCATCCTTGGTAGCCTGACGCTGGTTGTCGTTGAAGTAAGCAGGGACAGTGATGACGGCCTTCTCGACCTTCTTTCCGAGCTTGGTCTCAGCGACCTCCTTCATCTGTGGGATGTGTTAGTTCCACCTCGCCACACAAAATGTGTATTTGCCCCGCTGGGCAGAGTATGTGGGCGCAGATCGTACCTTGACGAGAACCATGGCAGAGATCTCCTGAGGAGAGAACTGCTTCTTCTCACCGAGGTACTCGACCTCGACCATAGGGCTGCCGTTCTGGTCAACGACCTTGAATGGCCATGACTTGATGTCCTTTGTGACGGTCTCGTCCTCGAATCGGCGACCAATGAGACGCCTGACAGAGTCAGTCTACTGATCGCATGTCCAGCATGTCTGCGAAAAAGAAAAAACTCACTTGACGTCGAAGACAGTGTTCTCGGGGTTCATAGCAGCCTGGTTCTTGGCCGCCTCACCGATAAGACGCTCCTCTGAGGTGAAGGACACAAACGAGGGAGTGGTAAAGCTACCCTGCTCGTTGGCAACTGTGGGAAAGCATGGTTAGACGATTGCTTTGATGAGGATATATTGATCGGGCGCATACTGATCTCGACATTGGTGCCCTCGTAGTTGGCAACGCAAGAGTAGGTAGTGCCTGGGGATATCGGTTAGCACATGCCACTGTGGGGTAATATTGCGAGTGTTGCGCACCAAGATCGATGCCGATGGCACCCTCGTAGACTTCTTCGCTCATGATTGCGGTGTGTGTGGAAGGAACAACCTGAAGTAAAATTGAAGAGCAGGAAGGTGTTGGAGAGAAGGTGGGAAAAAAGGGCTGGGAATCTTTTTTGCGCTTGCTTAAAGGCGAGCGAACGGAGAAAAATTGGCCTCGCAGGGATCGTTCGTAGTGTCGGCGGGCGACGCTAGGCGCACTCGGTTAACTTGTTCGCCGGCGCTTATCGATACCTTGGAAAATAAAATAATTGGAGGCAACAAAACTCAGAGGCGAACCTCGGTTGGTCTCGGAGAGAGTTATTTTCTCCTTGCATCACAAGAGGTGAGCGAGACTTTGCAGAATATTCATTCAGAATGCTCAAGAGCAGCGGTGCCTTTTGCGGGCTGAGAAGTTCCATATCCCAGAGCGCGAGTACCTTTGTAGAAGGTAACAACATAGGCTGTGCAGCTGACATTCATGTTCTGCTGGTGGACCCAGGTATCAGTCCATTCTCAAAGCCAGCATATTTCTTTTGTTTTTGCGGGAGACACTAATTCCAATACCAACTCTGCTTCAGGAGACAGTTGCAGAATGGCAACCCGGGTCGCGTTTCTTTGTTCCAGATACTTGGGAAAGACACGAACCTCGACCCAGAGGCCTTCATCATAACGAAACAGAAAATCACACCATACCTAAGCCATTGATAGCATATAGGCGGATATAGAAGTGTGGCCAGACAGTGCGACACATCATATCTAGAAAGCATGTTGTACCTCCATGGTTGCACACTGGTAGCGGGTCCAGAAAACCATATCCATTTTCTCAACCAGATAGGCGGGCTAAGAATCATACACACACCGCTAAAAAGTTTACGCATGACTACCGGACTAGATTGCTTCGAATCCATCAAAAATTTGACTTCATTCTGGTAGCTGTAATACCAGTAAGGAATAGTGTGTAATGCAACTCTTTATGTAATGGAATGTTTCCAGCATGTCAATTTTCTATGTCTTCATCGAAGGCTTGATCAAATGACAAGCCTTCTCTGCTTTCATGCTCGGAACCGTCATCATGTAACGCCCAGTCCTTTCCCATCCTAGCCTGCACATCCCGTAAAAAACGCCATACACCAACTCTATAATACACCAATGCCCCCTTATTCTGCAAAAAAAAAACCCCGCCATGTAAACCAGAATTTGTCACAGCCTTAAACTTTCTCGTCGTGGAACACGAAACTGATGTCCCTTGGTCTCTGGGTGTTGTACCTTACGAAATTCTCGTCTCCTTGAGGTCTTTCTTTCTTCGTGTTGCTCGTGAGCATGCTCTGCAAGCTCACACATACGCTCTCCACATTGTGTACAGGAGACCAGCCCGAGCGGTCTAGCAGGTCGAGACAGATGATGCCGTTGGAGTATATATGCGGATGCCAGGGTATCGGATGAGTTTCATCGCGGACGAATACGACTTCGGGGGCCTATGAAGTGGGGAGTTTAGCAACTAGCTAGGCGAATTCGACTAGCTCGAAGCAGGAATCAAATACCTCGATAGGATACTGCGGGCTAAAACTGAATTTCAAGCGGTATGTTTCGCCTTCGTAGATGGGGTTCGAGTCCATGACTTTGATGTCCATGAGCCAGGTTTGGAAGTCGTCAGCCTGAACAAGCGTTATGCCTGGCGGAAGCTTCTCATGCATCTATCCCTCTGATTTAGCGACCTTTTCATATACATGCATAAAACTCGTATGTTTCTGTGTATTGTGTCTTGGGCGCGTCGACTTGACCGCAGTGATGCGAGGCGGTGTAATTCGCAAAGGACAGGAGGGTTACGGTACCTTGGATAGCTCCTGCAAGGTTGATTAGCCTTGTTTCATTTGCATGCTTGCCACTGCGCGTAATTTTATGTCTGCATCCGATTGTTTACACGTACCTTGCCTAGCCGTTTGGACGCGAACATGTTAGACTGAGTTGCGCCTTCTGCTTCCTCGGATGGGTTACCACGTGTAAATCAAGCTGAATAGTTCCAAGTTCGTTCGAAAGAATGCACTGTCTTTGCTAAAGCTTTGGATGTAGTGTTGTGGTGCTGTCGGTCTACGCGGGCGCAACAAACGACGCTCGGTGGGGGAGGGGCAGAGCGGTGGACCTTTGTACGTGGCAACCTGGTATCGTAGAAGTCGCAGTGGAAGGAAGTGTAGGATGCTCAGATCGAAGAAAGGGTGACAGAGCTGTGAGCGGGTAAAGGCAGGTATACAGGAAAAGCGAAGGGCAGGAGTTTGCGCGGTTTGCTTCGAAGCTTTGAGGTTCAATGTGCGAGTGACGTGAGCGCGGATCTGCCTATCCGCACACCCATGTTACATGCAGCCTTAGATCATAGTAGAAACAGATGCATTTTCACGTGATAGTCAAATTGTACTATTAACAATAGAATAGTTTCTGAGCATTAAATTTGTCATTGATCCCGTCCGTGATATCTTTGGGCGCCATACGCCTTAACCATAGCTTTTTCCCGAACAAGCTTTGTACAACAAGCCCGCAGGCCATGAAGTGATGATATGAAAAACGCCCTATGCAATGAAACGAGCAGATTGCTCAAGAACAAGCCCTTTAGGCCTACGAGTAGAATGCACCCTTCTGGAAACTCTCAACACCCATATCTCCCGCCTTGCTGTCAATCTTTGGTCCAACCTTGTTTCCCATGCTCGACTCAGTCATGGTAGCAGTTCCATTTGTAGCACTGCTGCTGGTCATTGTCTGGGACCTGCTTCCAGCAGGGCTTCCGATCTGGCTTCCACTGGTGATCTGAGCGGGTGTCTTTCGCTGAATAGTCTCCAGGTAGATGCCGGGAAGATAGCCCACTCGACCGTCTCTTGACCGGCATTTCCACCACTCTGATGCGTTGCCCATAGGGTCACTCTTGCTGAGAACAGCAACCATGTCGCCCTTCTTAACCGAGAGATCCATACCCTGCATGTTGGCATTGGGGGTAAAGTCATATAGTGCACGGCAGAACTCGAGCTTGTTGGGATCGAGCGGTTGTGCCGAGTGTGGGTTCTCCAGCATTTTTCGTTGCTCCTCGGCTTCTTGTGATCGGGCAAGGGCCTTGATGAGCTTGCCCATTAGATATGGCAGACCGAATACCGCGAGCATGAACACGATGAAAGGCTTCTTTGAAGGCTTTGGGGGTGCTGGTGAGCCATCTGGCATGCGGCCATTGAAGGCTGCGAAACTCGCGGGAGTCAAGGCGGTTGCGTCGGCTGGCAAGGGTCGTCCGGTAAGTTTTGCAATGGCGGTTCTTATCCACCGCATGACGGTGTATATGCCCAAAACCGAACCGAGTGTTTGTCGCAGGTTTCCGAACTGTTCGGCAACGGATACCATGGCTGTAACACGTTAAAAACCGGCAGAGAAGAATAGTCGGGGCAGGAACATACCAAAGAATGACGAGTGAGTGGCCATGTATGTGCTTTGAAGCATTTGCGCGAAGCCACCGAAGGCGCCGACAATGTTTTCGATGAGCTGGAATGTCGCTGCTGTGCTTTGGCTGAAGGACTGTGTAAGGCTGCTGTTTGGATCGCCCGGCATGCCGCCCATGCCTCCGTACATGCCGCCATACATGCCTCCCATGCCTCCGTACATGCCTCCCATACCACCCATGCCGCCGTACATGGAGCCGTACGCGCCGCCCATGGTGGAATATGGCGAGTTGTAGCTGCTCATGCCTCCGTAGCCCGTGCCGTAGGGTGAGGTGTATCGGCTGTTCATGCCGGAATACGCGGTCGCGTTGCGGTTCGCGACGGTGCTAAGAGAGTCGGGTACCGATGGCAATGGAGGAGCGGTTGAAGAAGTTGGGGATGTGGCGGTTGTGGATGCTGTGCTAGTGTTTGATCCTGTGAGACCTGTGCAATCGTTAGTCACGGTTGTCCCTGTTCCTCCGATCGACTGGTGGAACTGACCAACCGAGGCACTTGTCGCGCCGGCGCTGGTTTCCCATGGCTTTGGCGGCGATGGCGAAGACATTGTGTCGTGTGTGTCGTTTGTGTCCCGTCGTTGCCCTTTACGTGCAGACGGCGATGGATTGCAGCGAGATGGCGAGGGCGTGCGACGGTTGAGAGGCTGGTGAGCAGCGGCGATTCAACGGAAGCAGGAGCGACTTCTTGCGGGGAACCTGCCGAAAGCCGGGGGGCTGTAATCGCAAAACAGCGGATCCGCGTCGACGGTCACTGCACGCGCTCGTTTGCAGTCCCGCGGATAGACGAACAAGAGCGCGAACGGTTTGGGTGACGGAGATGGGATGGGGGGCGATGGGGAAAGCTGAGGGCGCCTTGCCGTCGGCCGGGATACGGCTGGTCTTTGAGAGCCTGAATCGTGACCGCGACAGACCTCGGTTTCTTGTGCCCGCTTAGGCAAGCCCAACCGCCGAGCAATCACAAGCCGAAAACCATACCCACTTTGCCACTCCCTTTTGTAATCACCAATCCCACCCCAGCGCTCCTATGTCATCTGTCGTGCGTTTCCCTCTTCAGTCGTGAGCGTATGAAAATTCCTTCTGGGCCTTGCGCATTACCACAGACAACATATCTACCGCGCCTGCATCCTTGCCGTGTATGCTTCCCGATGATGTACTTGTTCTTCGCCAGTGCACAGCATTCAGATCGGACTGGAGCTTATACTACAAGGACTGGCTGCATCCAACCAAAGCGGGGGTGCGTCCAACAGCAAACCTTATTCTGAGAAGGCAGCAATACCGAATCGAAAAACACCGAACCCCATGGTCAACTAGTACATAGTAAAACAGGAAACAGAGGTCAAGCGGGCAAAGCCTACTAAAACAAGCCATGCCCGGAACGAAATATTACCATCGCAACATGGTCTTTTAATGTATAAAATATAGGCAGTAAAATGCGTAGTGGCAATACACCTATGTCACTACCAGCTACCACAAAAGTTGGGAACTTGCTGCGACGCGTGTGATTCCGATAGCATCACGTGAGCTCTATAGAAATATAGTTACCTAAGGCCTAGCTTAGTACTGTGGTGAGCATCACGTGATCAGGCCGCGGATCTACATTGGGTTTTCTTTTCAGAGTAGATAGACTACCTTTTTGACTCAATACAATATAATGATTAGATTTCACCTCTGTTATACCAGCTCGATTGCTGGTCGCCCCTTAATCTTTTGGGCTTGATCCTTTATCGTGCCACAGTATATACACATCCTGTCTACCAATATACTAAACCGAAAACCCGTATTATAGTACACTACATTTAACTGCTAGAAATAATAGCTAGAGATCTCGCTCGATATATTAAAACTCACGGTGCTGTATCCATGTATATTTAGTGGTGTTGCCTCTTAGTTAATATTCACAGAGCCCACGACTATCACTATATTCACTAACGCTTCGCGCAGGCTACATCTCAAGATAATGTGTAAGCGACATACTGTACTTCCACTAAACCATTTTGGTATCACACCTAGGGGTGTTGCTTCAAAGATAATCGCTAGTGATGGCTTCGCCAGATCAATTCCGTCTTTCAAGTGCTGCGATATCAACGCATCGTTTGCGGATTAATTGTACAAGGTGGAATCGCTTCACCAAAAGGCTTGGCTGCCTTAATCTAGTAGGAAGATGCAGGACGCCTTTGCTCCGGCGCGCACGAGATGCCATAGGATAAAGTCACTTCTTCGTTGAAGGGAAGGACTTGTGGCTGCCCAGGGCTGTCATGGCTTAGCCCACCTTACACCTGCGCTACAGAAGGCTGCCATCAGAGCCCCACCTTCTTTTCATCGATGATGCTGCGCTTTTCCGCGCGATGTCTCTTGATAAACCATGCTCTATTATCGTAATAAGTTTTAGCATGCCTCCATGCGCTTCCAGCACCTCCAAGATTATGAGCACTGCACAATAGATGCAGACGAGATGCACAGGGAGAACTTGCAATACGATTAATCAAATTGCTAGCTCTCTTTATGCAGCTTCCCAATGTGTCCCCCTTCTGTACCATCATGCCCTCAAGCTCCGACGCCTGTGGTTGCTGTCTCTGCTAACTGATTCAGCGACCTCATCGAGCCAACCGCATCTTCATGATTCTCAAGTTCTTAGACTGCATCCGCCCTTAGTTGGTTATGTTGCTAGAAGTAAGGCCTACCCATAAACGGGATGTCCTCCTTTCCACTTCTCGATCCCAGATTCTCTTTGCTAATTGGCTGCCAGTCTATGGGAGAAGAAGCAGGAGGAAGCAGCTCGTGCAGATACGAGGGGGGACTATTGAAAGTAAAACAGAGCCAATATGGTTGGCTATATAGCAGCCTTCATGTGCACCTTGGAGGCTGTGAAGTCTTCCGGTGAGACTAAAACAGCCTCATACATGTCTAGCTGTCCTATCACTAACACCTTGTAGTCCTCCTTTCAAGTGGCTTCTGGCTGATAGCTAATCTAGATTGCTTGGAAATACTGCTGATAAGTCTAAAGCGTGGACCTCGATTTTCGTTTTGGTGACGTAAATGATAAAATCTGCTTTGTGTATAAAGTACATTAGAGTCGTCGCGATCGTTGTTGCCATCACAGTTTCAAGAGAGTTCCAACCATACGTACAACACCTCGAGAAATAGGAATGTCCCTAAGCTAAGAACACTGTGCACATGCTTACCTCAGAATAGCAATATTATCAAAATCATAATACCCTGTATCTCTTCATCCCTATGTCACGGCCGGGACGGCCACCAAAAACGGACAGTATATATCAAAACAGTATGGTACAAGTGTCTATCCCGAGACTGCGGGAGGTGAGCTAAA